AGCTACATCCACATGTCGTGCCATGTGCGCTGGAGGGGTTCAGGGTTGATATTATTAAATTGGGCTATTGGCAATCCTGATTCCAGTGGCTATGTGAATAACTAGTAAAATCAGTTGGTAGAGTAGTTCAAAGAGGTGGGTGGAAGTTTTGTGGGTAGACGTGAGCTTCTTGTGATTAAATGGCTTCTACGAAGGTAATATTTATGCCTGCTGCAGCCAATTTGATGTTTAGAAGAACTACAAGGCCGCATTTGTCATTCTTAGCAGAACAAAATTACAGTCACTCTGTGTCCCAAGAGACAGTTGCAGCGGAGAGCAAAAATGCTGTATCGCCGTCAGTCAAGAAGAAACAACAGAAATTTCCATTTGCAAAGAACATTTTCCTTGGGAAGTTCGACAGTGATATTCTTACTTATCCCGAGGTTCTTGATAAGGAACGATTACAAACACTTAATGAAATGGTTGCACCCATTGAGAGATTTTTTTCTGATGGTGATTGTTTTTGTACTATATTTAATGACACCCTCATATTGTTATATTGCTGCTAGTAGTAACAGCAGCAACTGAGAACACCTTTATGCGTATCAAGCCCAACCCAACTACGCGTATCTCAGTACAAATTTTGGGATATGTATGGAATTTTACATATCATTCACAAGCCATGATCTAATGAAGTTTTGAAAATTGGAGCGCAGAAAGGAGATGCATTGATTTATATTTTGACAAGGTTATGTTATGTATAGGTTATATGTTATTACTGTTTGCAACTGGCATGTTTGAATTCTTGTCATGTTTTGACATGAACTGCTGAGTATCTGTGGTATTGAAATCTCGTGGCAAGATGCAAGTGTTTGTGTCCCACCACTCTTTAAACACTTCTTTCTTTTCATATTAAATTTATCCAGTTTTACAGAATGTACTTTTCAGGTGTTAATGGCATAAATTATTTGTAGTATGTACTTATTTAAATTTAGATATTCACAGATGAAGACTTACTTAAATGTAACCGAATAACACAAAAATTTCTGATAGGAAAGAGGATTTATTCTGTAATGGTGAATGACTTGATATGATAAAGTGACATAAAAATACTATGAGAGCTTCAGCCTATAGTTCTGTAGAAATGCTATAGTGGTAATTGTAAGCAGAGTGTGTATGTGGTGAAAGCAGTGTTATATGATAATGTAATATGCAACCAAGTATATATTTCATGTATCATTTTCAGAATACAGGAAAAAAACCATTGTGTGAAGGTAGATAATACATCTATTGACATTGCAGTAAACAACATCAACAAATTTTATACTTTCTAAGAGCGGTGTACTGTATCAGCACTGTTCAAACCATCCAAAAGCCAGAAAGACACTAGAACAAAAGTTTGTGGATTTTGAAATTGGGGATTACTTTTAAAAGGATTTTTGAATGATGGGTAAACTGGCATTACTCATTAACTGCTAGATGATGATGACTAACATTTAAATTGCATCCATGGAGAAGTCAAGAATAAATTAAATTTAGTATATTGTTCTTGGGGAAAGTAGTTTTCTTCTCAAGTTTG